ACATTTTAGTTTCGTGGTAGATTTTTCTTTTACTCTCCCCAAGATCTTCTAGTGGGCCCCTGGCCAAAGCTGTCAATAGTGGTAGCCAGGCCACATCTAGGTCTTGTGGTCACCAGTTTGTAGATACTGTGGTTCGTGGCCTCCATTAATTCGCTGGATTAAGAGTTTCCTTGAGTCTTTGGTTTTCTTCAATCTGCTTTGCTCCAGGTGGGAGAAGATCGATAATTGCACCTTAGACGGTCTCTCACAAGCCACACCCAAGGAGGATACAGAACGTTGTCTTTATGGATTAGATTATGTCCGTTGACCTAGACGTCCCGAAGACGATAGTCCCTAGCACTCAAGCCAAGAAACGCAGTCCCCAAAAGTGGCTGGTTATGTCTAAGAAGTTTTTCTGACTGTTCTCTGTGTGTGTTCTATTCTCCTGGAAATGCAGTGCAGTGGAGATAGGTCAGGGAGCCATTTGGCTCTGTTCAGAAACAGGGACTTCGCTGGGGTGCCTCATGGGAGTTTCAACTCTGCAGGTTAGGCTGACACTGCACCTCACTCCACTGTGTCATATGAGCATGTCATCTGATTCGGAAAATAATCTTTCCATTTCTAAAAAGACATCCAGAAGTAGCAAGTCAAAAACTCTTAGAACACATAAAAGTCTAGAAGACAGAGGCAAAAACAAAATTTAAAAAACCACCAACTGACTGCATAACCCTAAAGAGGGGACAGTTGGCAAAAGACAAGTGTACTAAAGGAAAACAGACAATGTTCTAGTGTAAAGTAAGAGAGAGGATTTCTAAACCGAAATCTAATTGTTTTTGGTTGGTTTTTTTTTTGGTCAAGAGAGATCATGGACCGAATCCTACCAAGTCTGGAGTCATTTAAATGGTCAGTTTTTTCTTTAAAAAATTAAAAACAACAAGCTTAAGGATAAAAATCTTCTTTGATCATCTTTCCCTCCTACCCAACTTAACTCTAATAATAACAATAGCTAGTCATGCATTTTCCAGAAAGGACGCACAGAGCTTTACAGAAATATCCCTGCTTTCACCATGTCCCACTGAAGAGGGGTGACCACCCCTCTTTTTGCGCAGGAGGAAACAAGACCATCACTCAAGTCACCAGCGTATTAGATGGAGTCAGATATGTGCAGGTTTTCCCATGGATTCATATACATATTGCTGCTGTTCTGCTTCGTTCAAAACTAAAACAAAGGCACAGCTTGAATGATATCACAGGATACATATTTCTATATTGGCATGGTTTTTCCATGACAGTTCTTACAGGTCTAACTCATTCTTTGTTAACTACTCAGTAGTATAGTAGGAATGCCTAATGATGCATACGATTAACGGTGGGCTGTCTGAATCCCCGAGGAGACCCTGAAAATACAGTCCTGGCATCTCGCTCTGACAGAGCACAGCCCCTATGGATGTGCAGAAGTTCTACTCTGATGCTCATGGAGTCACCGGGAGCGGGAATCGCCTCGATGGCCGCTGGGGTTTAGTATAGGGTAGGACATGGGGGAGCAGTGAGTGTGTGTGTGTGTGTGTGTGTGTGTGTGTGTGTGTGTGTGTGTGAAAATGGTTAATTCCTTCAGCTGCTAACGCAAAGGCTGGAGGTTAGAGTCCAAATAGAAGCAACCTCAGTAAAAAGATTTGGTGAGTCAATCCGAAAGGCGGTACTTACGGAGGAAATCGTATGTCTGATCTGACACACGCTGTGTCACTTTGAGTTGATTTTGATTCAGCAGTGATTTGTGGTGGTGGTTTTCAATGTATCTGTACCATCAGTTTTATCAGTGAGCACGTAGGTTATGTTCCAAATGCTCACTACTCTGGGTGATGCTGTGGTGAACACTTTTGTACAAGCTTCTTTATGTACAGGTGTTTGGGTGGACACCACCATGTGCACATGCTGGGCCATGAGTGTGTATCCTTAGGCTTTAAGCATAAATTTGAATAAACTGCAATGCTGAACTGCCCTCTAAGATGCTCTACTATCCCTATGCAAACACACACTTTCTTATAATCATGCAAAATTCCAACATTATAAAAGTTAAATTTTCCAAGATAAGGGATAGGAGATGGAATTTTGCTTTGATTTGTATTACTTTGATTGCAATAAAATAGATGTCATTAAGTGATATTGTGAGCTAAAGGGAAGTGACATAAAAAATGACACACACATGAAATGTTTAAGTTTTGTGTTAACTTGGTGGGGCCAGGATTCTCAGTGGGTTGGCAGCTAACACATAGTAATGTCCTATGACATGAACTAAACAACTTAATCACATTAAGAAGGTCAGGGTGGGATGAACACCCTTTCTCAGGTCACAGCCCTGCTGCAATCAATGGGGAGGAAGTTGCCTTGGGGGTGTGGCTTGCCTGCTTCCAATATAAGTGCTCTCTGTTGAAAAGCTTGCTTGCATTTTGCTTGGTCTGCATCTGGCTCATCATCCTCTGGTTCTCTGAACTTGAACCAACTATCTACAATAGTGCCTGCTTATATGGGGAGTCATTAGTGGCCTGTCATCTGATCTGCTGATCTTGCTTTATTAACCTCTGCAACTATTTGAGTCAAGAGAAGCCTGTAGCCTAACATCTGCCCATAGACTTGGGATCTGCCTGAACACTGACTTGCAAGCTTCAACAACTGTGTGAACCATTTTCTTGCTATATGACTACGTGTTTGTGTGTGTGTGTGTGTGTGTGTGTGTGTGTGTGAATGTATATCGCTGGTTGTGCTTCTCTAGAAAACCCAGCCTAAGGCCATAGACATTTACTATATCCTTTTATTCTATATGCAGATGGGCATTTCTTCTCCAATCTTTTGATGCAAGAACAAGGCTTCTCCTTTAAGAAACCACTGGCAGGGGGTGGGGGGGAGAAGGGGGGCTCCACGTCTTTTTTGCATTAACCACACCCTCGGGCACTGCAGAAATGAAGTGAGAAAGCTCAGAGCCTTGTGAAATGATCTGAGTGCAGGCTCTAACTGCACTTAACAGCGGGCTTGCTAATGATTTGTCTTCATCAAGTTTTCAGAGCATTCAATTTGATTTTCAGGGAAACCACTCCCTTTCCCCACTGGTGTTTCACTGGTATACATAGTTATTGTTATTATTTTAAACTAAATTATGTAATCACAATGACATTCAACCAGTATAAACAGGGCTGGGACCTGAGCGCCTGACTTGTGGCAAACGCACAATTAAGTGTGGGAGCTGAGGCACACGTGTGTCTCAGAGAGTGGTGCCCCAGCCTGCTGAGCTCGCATGCTTTGGTCACGGTCATTATCTTCCAGAGAGGGGCCAGTAAGGATCTTTCAGGGTGGTGAGTGGGTGAAGAGGAGTAAGACAATGTGGGGCATCTTCGATGCTTCTTGCCGAATATCCTCTACCGCGAACCATCTGCTCACTGTATTCACCTGGTTTCCTAATGGACAATCTTAGTCTTATGGATATCTAAGTATATTGTCCCCAAATCTCAGATATTAATCCTTTGCCATTTATTTGCCATAAATATTTCCTGCCAGACTGTGGTAAGTAGTAGTCATTGGCTACTTACCTCGTCCAGTGGAATTCAAGTGCCTTGGGGTAAGAGGCAAGCCTCCTTCTTTTTTGGGGGGTGTGGGGGGTGTTCTTCTTTCTAAAATCATTTTATTGGAGGCTCATACAACTCTTATCATAATCCATACATCCATCCACATCCATTGTATCGAGCACATTTGCAAGCTTCCTTTCAGCCATTCAAAGTGCACAGAGAAATGCCTGTCACAAGGCTGATCATCTTAATTGTATTATTTAGTCCTGCTAGCTTGTTCTGGAGCTTAAGTGTTAGGGTTAAAAAATTAAAATGTTAATGTTAAAAAATAAAAAGACAAAAATCACCACTGTAGGTATATCTAGGTGATAGTGAAAAATGCAAATCCTATTTATAAAGTGAAGTTTTGTTCTGTTGAGTAGCTTCACTTGTTTCAAAATGATCTAAAACATTCAGTTGTTGATACATCCAAATTTCAAATTGCAGATCACATGTTCAGACAAGAATAGAGGCCTGGAATTAGCCTATTATGTTCATACTGTGTTATGGAAAATGACAGCCTTAATTAAGTATTCATGAACACTGGTTAATAGTCTGCCAACTCCCTCTGTTGTAGCAGAAACCCCCAAACAAAACACAGCAACAACAACAACAAAACAACAAAGTACACAATAGGAAAAAAAGAGTTATGTGAAGTAACCATGTATAATGACATCGCAAGCTTCTAGGATACACATGTACTCCAATAGGAGAACACAATGGCAAATGCACAAGCCAAAAAAGCCCAGTAAAACAATTTCACTAGAACCCAACAGAAGAAACTCCTCTTCACAACATGTAACCTCTTTTAAGAACTAAGCTTCGACGATGGTTAGCTACAGGTTCTGCAGAGGCAGCCGAGCGTTAAGATGCATGTGCGGATGGAGTAAGGAAGAGGCGCCTGGCTCCTGTTCTGGATGACAATTCTCTTACTAACGCCACACCCACAATCACATCAACATTGCGTGTGTGAAGTGTCGCCTCTTTGATTGTGAGCTACCTTAAAAGGCAAGTCGAAAAGGCAACTTTCCTCAGCCACACTGCATGCCCAGAATAATAAAGTTTCACCATTCAACCTGACACAGATAAGAGTTAAATGGAGATAGTGAAAAGGAACAAGAAGGAAACGTTCCCCTGTAAGTCTCAATCCCACTCTATGATTTTCCTTCGAATTGAACTATTTCAAACATTAATAATGTGGTTGTATGGCCCCTAGAGCACTCTTAATCAAGATTAAAGGAGGGCTAATTCAGAGACAAGCAGGAAACAGGAGTAATGGCGCAGCTTCCAGGCAAGGTATAAACAGCTACAACATTTTCAAGAACCCGTCTTTCAGCGTGAACGCGGCAGTTTAAACATGCAGGGCAGACTTTAGGACAACGGGGTCACCAACATTCATTGTTACAGGAGAAATGTGACTCTTACCAAGTTTTCTTGGTTCCTGGCTGCTATGTTCTGCTCATCTTCCGCCCCATTTTTCATGTATTTGACCTCTTCCACTGGTTTGATCCTGTACTCATCTGAGTACCAAAAAAAGAAAAGACAATTTATAACGTTTTCCAAAATGGTAGAAAAGTGTCAGTTAGAAAAGCCCGATCGTGTAATGTATCAGAGCCCTTTCCCTGCTGCCTTTATGAGTAGCTCATTGGAAACCGTCTGGAGGAAGCTTATCCAGGCACCTCAGGTCTTTTGATGAGGCACTTGCTCTTCTGTCTACCGGGAAACGTGCAGTCATTGTCTGCTTCTATCACACAGAGAGGCAAAGGGGGCAGAGCCCAAAGATCTGCCTGTCTCCAAAACCGATTTGGAATCTATACACGCTGGGATGTATCACGATACTTCGTAACAGAAGACCGACTCTATTCTTGTTTTCCCTGTACGTAGATTAGCCCGAAATGCCCATGGAAGTAATTTCCAGCACAACATCCACACCTTAATCACTCTTTTAAACAAAGCACTGTTCAGGGCGGATGGCTGTAATGATAAACAAATGGCTATAAACAACCAGAAATGGGCATTTTCCTTTTTGTGTTCCTCATTTTAAAATTGGAGGAGTCAAAAATGAACTCATATTCTTCTTGATATTATTTCAGTCATTCTATATGTTATATATATTATTTTTATTACATACATACTTCTGTGCACTCACATGCATGGAAATTCATCTACCAGTCTAATGTTTTGAGAATGATGATGGCAACAAATGTACAAATGTGCTTGACACAATGGATGGATGGATTGTGATAAAGAGTTGGACGAGCCCCCAATAAAATGATTTAAAACAAACAAAACACAAACAGTAGGTGTCTCTGTGTGGTGTAAATGGATAATAGACTTGGCTGCTAACCAAAAGGCTGGGGATTAGAGTCCACTCAGAGGCACCTCAGAAGAAAGGCCTGGTGATCTACTTCCAAGAGATCAGCCAATGAAAACCTTCTGGGGAAGTTCTCAGTGTGCCAGTTTTTGGCAAGAAACAGCATGCCTCTCTTGCCACACGCACCTTCCTCACCTGACCTTGCTCTGTGCGACTTCTTCTTGTTTCCGCAAATGAAGAAGGGGCATGAAAGGGCACCAATTTGACAAAGAGGAGGGGGTGAAGGAAAAGAATGAGGGAGGTGTTGTCAGCCATGCAAACAGATGCATTTGAAAAATGGTTCCAAGAATGGAATCACAGATTTGACAAATGTATTAAGTGTAAGAGAGAGTACTTTGAAGGTGATAAGGTTGTTTTGTGAAAAAATGTAAATACATAGCTTTGAAAAAAAATCCATTTGGGGGGGGGTGTACACCCTTGTATACTTCACTTCAGGAAGTCACAATATTTTTTTTAATTTTCCATGATTAATTTATTGTAATTTAATCTGGTATAAGTACTATATATGGATGTAATCACGTACTTAACACAGCTCACTAATGTAGTGTTAGACTTTCTCATACTATCCCTTGGCACACTATCTCTAAAGATGTTTGCTGTAGTGTGACACTTCTTCAAGTAATTATGCTGTTCAAAAACTTCTCAAAAGTATCATCCTTATGAACGTAGAGCATTTGCATATATCTGAATTCAGACTCCATGTCTGTGGCTAAGCCAATTGTTTCTTTTCCACCTGATAATTCATTGATTCTGCTTCTTTTCAAAGAAAATCAAGACTGGTGTGAGGTTACAGTAATGAGCCCTTTATGATGACTAAATCCTAGATGTGTTAACAAGTTAATCAATGAATTTTGATCTACAATTAATCAATTACAACACAATTACAATTACTGCATAAAAATGTCACATTCCATTTGGTATTCAGAAGAGAAAATATGAAGGTAAATTAGTAAAATGTGATATTTAATTGAGGATAATTAATTTGGATAAACAATGAATAATCAAGGGGGAAAAGGCACTGGCAAATTATGCCTGCGAAACAATTACTGTTAGTTGTCATCAAACGAGCTCTGATTCACAGGGAGCAGCAGAACTGAACACAGCTCAGCCCCGTGACCTTCCCGACCACAGAGAGCAAGTGCTCAGGACGACCATGGATCAGAGGAGCGGCTTTCCAACCTCGGCGCTGCTCACGAAAATAACTGCTGACAGTCAGCTAAGCCTGGATCTTACTTGCTAATGGTGAGCAATTGTGCATGATTCATTACATCACTGTTCATTACAAAAGATAACATACCCATTATCAATCACTGTTAACAGATGACACAACTCCCGAAGAATCCATGAGTTTGCCTATAAGCCTCCACCACTCGCCTGAGAAGCTCAGGAAAAGCACAACATTTTGGGGCCTAAGTAAACTTTCTAAGGATGCAGATGGTCCTTCGTTCGCCGTCAAGGAAGAAGTTTCCCTTGTGTTGTAAGTGCGGAGTAAAGTCCACTGAGCAACTTGTGAATCCACCTCAAGAACTCAAAACACACCTCACAGGTGTCGAGTCAATTCTGGTTCACAGTGACCCTTTCAGATGTTCCTTGGGGCATCTGCAGCGGTCGGTCCCTCTTCACGGGCACACAACGCCTCATCTTTCTCTCATGCAGCACTGGTGGGTTTGAATGGCTGACCTTCAGGTTAGCAGCCCAATCCAAGATCCACGCTGCTACCGTGGTTCCTTTGTCAATACAGCTCCAAAACCAAACTCATTGCCACTGAGTCAATTTTGACTCATAGCAATCCTATAGGACGGAGCAGAAGTGCTCCCGTGGGTTTCAGAGACTGTAGGCCTCTCCAACCCCCCAATTACGATGTTGTATTAAGGAAGCTAACAGGTACTACAAGTCAAGATCCATAAACAAAGATACAATTGCTGACCTACAGTAGCACCTCTTCTCAGACAGCATCTGAGGTAGTTAGTTTATTGTGCCGATAAACACATGTGGGGTTAATTGAAGGGCAGAGGGATAAATGGCTCTGTGAGCCTCACCTTTCTAGTTCTTGGGTCTCTTGATTTGTGATGGTCGGACCAGGGTGCAGCTGCCTTAGCAGTTCCCTGCTTCAGCTGGCAAGGCTCACTTCCTGCAAGACATCCCCAAGGAGAAGCCACATGGACCTACCCCGATGCAACCCTGGATGCTGGAGCAGCCGTGTGGAGACCCCTGCCAACGCTGAGATGCTTACACGCTCACTGATTCACCTTTCCTCCTGCAGTCAGCATTATTGCGTGTGTTTTGTGAGATGGAGGAGGACTTTGTGGATTGGTATTGGACATATGAGTTAATGTTGGACTTGTGGGCTTGGGCAACACTGGGTGGGGATGTTTTCTTGATGTGCACTTACCCTTTATATAAAACTCTCTTATACATGAGTTTCTGTGGATTTGTTTCTCTAAAATACCCAGACTAACACAGCATCCAAGTCTCTCTGATTCTTGGCTTCTCACCTACAGGGTCCCTTGGCTGCTGCATTCATAGGCCTAGAATTCAGCCATTGCTCTTCCTCATCACCCCATAGTCTAGCCAGGTGTCCTCAAACTACGGCCCGCTGAGGACAATTGTCCAGCTCACCGGGTGTTTTTGCCCCATTTGTTTTTTACTTCAAAATAAGATATGTGCAGTGTACATAGGAATTTTCTCATAGTGTTTTTTTTTTTTAAACAATAGTCCGGCCCGCCAACAGGTCTGAAGGACAGTGAACTGGCCCCCTGCTTAAAAAGTTTGAGGACCTCTGGTCTAGACACTTTTGTTTCGTGGAAGACCGTAGGTCTTTACTGGAATAGTAAGCCTCATTTTTCTCCCAAGGCGCTACGCGGCTGGTGGTTTCACACTGCTGGCTTTGTGGTTATCAGCCCAATGTGTAGCCACAACACCACCGAGGCCCCTTTGTTAACCCCGCTAGGATTTGGTAATCTTGAAAGGGGCATAAAGCCACCCTGCCTGGCCCACTGTCCTTTGTCTTCCGCCGAGCCGCAGTTCAGTGCAGATGCTATCTGAGCAGCCTAGTGAGAATCTGTTTTCATTTCTTATCCCCCCAGGGACTGCAACTAGATGGAAAGTGGTAGATAAACTATTAATATTTTCCTCTAGTGAAATGAAATAGCTACTGGGTACATGACTTACAAGGCATCAGAAAGATTCTCTGCCATTAGAAGGAGAATAGGTTTAAATGTATCATTAACCACCACCTCTGGCTAGCTCTCGGTGTCAGAGAAGCACAGTATGATTGGCTACACAGAAGAAACAAACAACCAAGACCACAAAGCCAGGACTATCCGTTATGACTTACACAACACCCTGCCCATTAGCCATCCGCCGTATAGAAAACAATACAAAAAGCCAGCACAGCCCTCAGATAAATCAAAATTTGTGCAAAGCAAATACTTAAAAATGGCCTGTCAGATTGTTCGGAGGCTGATGCCAGGAATGACGATGTCCATCTGGAAACAGACAAGCTGTCAGCAGACGTGTCACACATTTCCATGGCGATGCAGCCACCAGAAACGGTACCCACCCATGGGCCCCTGTGCGGACAAATGGAACGTCTCGGTTTCTGACAGTGGAACAATCACGACAGAAACCCAGTTCTTCTTTTGTCTAAACGCAGGGGATTCAGCTGGGGCTCGAGCCCCTTTATCAGAGCCCACACTGAAGGCAATTAGCAGGGTCCCAGTCCAAGCCGGCGAGTCCCGGCAGTGTTACAAGGTGCCCACGTGATGAAGGGGAGGGAGACCAGCAAGACTGCCTTCCTCTGACTCCCTCACACCTGTTCCTGGCTTTTCTTTTCTTCTTGTAGATCTTGTCGGTAGGTCGTTAAAATGCATGTCAGGAGCAGGAGGCTGCTCCCCGTTCCCAACTGCTCCCTGTTCTCTCTGTGTGAACGGCTGCAGGCTGTGCCAGTCAAAACAGATCGGGGTGAAAGCATTGATTGGGTTTTATTTTTAGGATTTTATTCTTTGGATGGCATCAGAGGAAGGCTGGGATTGTTTGGTTGACTGCAAGACACACTGTTTGCCATCCTCTCTTAGTACCTCACTTCCCATCAAACAAGCAGAGGGAAGGAGGGAGAGAGAGAGAGAGACTGACTTCAGAGACACG